TCGGGGGTGAGAGGGGGGGGGGCTTTGTGATTGTGGCATTTTTATTTGATTGATCTTTCTTTCTTCCATGAGCTTGTTTGTCAGATAACGAGATGCGTTGTTATGAAGAGAGCAAGTATCGGATCCGGAGATAGAGAGAGATAGAGATAGAGAGAGAGAGAAAGAGAGAGAGAGAGAGAGAGAGAGAGAGAGAGAGAGAGAGAGAGAGATAGAAAGAGACAGAGAGAGAGTGAGGGTTTGATGGTGAGGAGGGCGAGGGGTGAGGTGGACGTTGGACACGTGTCGACGACACTTAAAAACAGAGTCGGGGATAAGAAGAGAGACGGAGGATCTCCGGGAATTGTCTGACAAACCAGAGGTAAATTGTCTTCGGCGGGTACCTCGTTGAAGTCCACCAATGTCTGCACCTTATCCGTGACGAGCACGCAACAAAACAGACACATACCGATCAGTATCGACGTAGCAGTGTTTCTACACTTACATATTACATAGAAAATTAGATAGAAGTTTCGCGCGGTTGCCGGAAAAGCTTCGAGCCGTCTCAGGTTTCTTCATTGTCAACTTCTTATTAAAAGGAGTGACGTCACCGGTCGCAAGGATGACGATAAAATGATCATCGAAACGGCGGAGCGACAGCACCCGAGATCTGTTCGAAAGCTTGTCCGACAATCCAACGTATACAGCAAGTAATTAATGTGTCCTCCCACTCGATTGTTTTTGCAATAGGTTCGTGCAAAGGATAACGCATTGACGTGCAGGAAGAAGAAGATACAATCTATTTCCTTGCACGAAATCGTTGCAAAAAGCTGAGTGGGCGAAACCATTGTTTTCACTGACTGTATACTGTGCTAGTAATTATGAAAGCGATTCAAGTCGAATGTTTCACCCGCTTTATACAAATTTACGATATTATAAAAATATATATTTTTTATTATTAATATTATTAATTATAATAATAATATTAATAATAATATTAATATATAATATATTAATATTATTAAAATATTTCCACTAATTTATATCAGTGAAAAAAGAAATGAATTGGAGCGTTTCAAATCTTTCGCCTTAAACCACCTCGGTAATTATTAGCACCAGGCACATAATCAGATTAGGCTACGAAGAGCGGTTCCGGAAACACGGTCTCGCCACTCACCACGCCTAGGGCTTCCTTTCTGTTCAGTCGCAGCTCTCGCAGCATCTGGTTCCTCTGTTCCATCATCAGGGTCCGCTCGTACGTGTAGGCTGATATATCGGAGTCCATCTGGAAACATAGATCATTTATGCTGATTAGCTTCCTTTGTCATTGTATTACGCGTCCGACAAACGGAGATGATACATGAACAGCTTTGAGACACACGGGTCAACTCTGATTAGAACAAACGAGGGGACACTTCGTTCAATCTCTACGACCATTTTGCCCCTAGGAATTTCTTTTTTGCCAAAGGATAAAAAGATTAAAGTTAATACGAGCAGATGTGAAACAAAGTAAATCAAAAGTGAAACAAGTGGTATAGACAGATGATAAATCGGACGTGGAGTAGAAGTGCCAAATTATGACACAACAAAGTTACTATAAAAAAATGGCGTTTGTCTTTAGATTATATTATTATAATTATATATATATAATTATTATATTATTAATATATTTATTATATTATAATATTATAATTATAATATATATATAATAAATATATTAATTATTATATTCCTGTTATGCTGACCCCGTAGCTCCTCATACATAATTATTATAATATAATATAATAATATATAAAATTACATTTCAACAAATAGAACCCGTTAACTCGACACTTTTTTTAAAATTACATTCCAAAACATTGCAAATCACGTTCTGCAATTAGTATCTTGATCGACGGACCATGAAAGCATCTCCATCGATTTTGACTTTAAGCTTTAATTCATTAAAGAGACTGCATGTGAACTTCCACGAATCAAAATTACCGTTTGATTGGAGCAACAATTACAGTCTAATTAGTCAACCAACGCGAGCATATCGAAACGACACAGCGAAAGGTTCGCATTCCAAAGAGACAAAGTTATCAAGGCAATTCCACAGGGAACAGGAGAATCACGAGACCCACCATTTCCACGATCTCGACCTCCGCCTCGATCCTAAGATCGTAGAGGAACTTCTTCAGGTCCTTCTTCATCTGGATAGAATTGTCCTCCATCTGAGCGACAGTGAAGATCCTCATTTTGCAGTTCTTCCACGTGCGGTGTTGCTTCAGCAGGAACGGCAACAGCATCAGAAGACCGCCGTCGTGGACGATCCACCAGACGTCGATGTAACCGACGACCTTCTCCGTGGAGTCAGGGAAGAAGTTGATGCCCTTGGGAACGACCAGAGCCATTCTAGCGGCGGCTACAGCCCTGACGGTCTGCAGGAAGACTCTCCAGGTCCTCTCGTTCTCGGACTGCCTCCAGCCGTAAGGCCAGCCGAGAATGACGGTGTTGGGCTTCATTCCGCCGAGGCCGGTGGTCTGAATCAACGAGCTGAGCCCGTCGACGATATTCTTGGCCACGAGGACGTCCACGAAACCTTTAACCTTCTCCTCGACAATGGTCTTGCGGAGGCTCTGCTTGGCGGCCAGGGCCTCGCCGGAGTTCTGGATGTAGTCGCCGCCGATGCAGCTGACGCAGATGGTGAGACCTTTGCCGGCCTTGAGCTGGCTCGCGAAGGCGAACAGCTTCCGGTACTTGGGTACCAGGTCGTCGGTCAGCTTGGCAAGGATCAGGATCTGCGGCCGCCAGTTCTTGGTGTGCGGGGGACCCTCCTCGAGTCTCAGCAGGGAGTAGCGGGCTGCCGAGAGGGCCAGGCCCCGTATCCCGTCGCCCCATTCCTTCTCAGCGCCGCGGTACTCAATGTACTTGTAGATGCAGCCGGCCATACCCATCGCCAGGAGAGCGTAGTACCAGCTGGTCATGAACATGATGGCGATGCAGAGGGACAGCCCGAGGAACGACAGGCTCCAGTGGTAATACTTGAACCTGGGCCGCCAGTTGGGCGTTCTCAGGAGCGTCTGCAAGGCGCAGGCGAGGTTCACGAACCCGTAGCACATCAGGAAGAACATGGACAGCAATGGAGCCAGGTAGTCGACGTTGCCGAGCAGGATGCCGCATTGGCAGATGATCAGCGTGAGCACCAGGGCCCTGGTCGGCTCGCCTCGGCTAGAGCTGGTTGCGAACGGGGTCAAAAACGGGATGATGCTGTCCTTGGCGATCGCCTGGAGAAGACGCGGAGCTCCTGTCAGCGACTGCAGACCGGCGCCCAGGGTCGACAGGAACGAACCGATCAGGATCACCCATTGGTTCGGCCAGGCCATGTTGGCCACCACCAGTTTGCCGCCGATACTTTGACCGAACTTGTCGCGCAGCAGCAGATTGTCCACGGTGCCGGCGAACAGCAACACGCACGAGAGATAGACCGTCGAGGTTGTCAAGATGGCGCAGATCGTGCCGATCGGTATCGACTTCTGGGCGTCCGCCAGGTCGCCGGATCTGTTGGAGCCCGCCATGATGCCTGGAACAGAGGAGGGTTCGATCAGAATCTTTGCTCTTTTTATTTTTTCAGGAAACATCGTGACCAGTGTGATTATGGCTTTTGGGGGACGATTACCTGTCACCGAGGGGAAGAAGATACCGATGAGGATGGTGAACGTGGTCGTGAGGTCGATCTGGATCTGATTGAAGCTGCTTTCCGCCATCTTGTCAATGTCCTTCGGGTCGCTTCCGTAAGCGATCAGCTGGTTCTCCTCTTGGAAGCTGTCCCATATGTTCTCTGCAGATAGTAAGAGGAGGTTAGGGTAACAATCGCTGCTACATTTTTTTGTCGAAGTATTAGCGGAAGTCTTTTCACGAGTCGGCAACAAAATTGACGATATCGACGGTATTAACCTCTCAGGCTGAATTTTGCGCGGGCTCTTATTCTGTACTGCAGAGTTTGACGCGAATTTTATGCGTGAACGATGCGGCACTGCAATGTATGACATCTGGCGAATCAAAAATAGAGGCTATATATTTTGTTTATATATTATTAACACTTGTTGCAAGGCGAATGATAATGATCGTTTAGCTCGAACGGTGAGCGAATGAGTAAGTAGGCTGAGCCACTATAGTGGCGCGTCGTAAATAAGGTTACATTCGTGAAAGCCGATATAGTGGCGCGTTATACCTAAGAGGTTAATCTACGGTAAGAGCTAAATCCCTCGATTACACCGATGAAAAATTAAGTCGTCGAAATCATAGCTGCCAGGTCTCTGTTCTCCATTGAAACCTACAGAGTATAATTAACAATTTAGATTTAAGAATTAACAATTTAAGGCGTAAACAAAAATTTTTCAGTATCAACCCTCGTAAGATTAACCTTCTGTCAGCACAGCGGAAGTCAATCCCGGGTATTTTTGGATAATATAGCTTATACCGAGTGTCCCAAAATGTCTCGCAATCCGGAAATGGCGGGTTCCTCGGATCATTCGAAGCAGCTTCTTCCTTTACAAAAATGTTCTCCGAGGCACCGTTAACGAGTTATCAACGAAAAACAGTGCGCTCGGCTGCCTCGCGCTAGCCGCGCTCGCCGAGCTAACGAGCGCGCGATCCCCAGCTGCACGCTGATTGGCTCTGCCGCCTCGCGCCAGCCGCGCTCGCCAAGCCAACGAGCGCGCGAGGCCCAGTTGCGCTGATTGGCTCGGTCGCCTCGCGCCAGTCAAACTCGCCTCTCATTGGCGCACTGTTCTTCGTTGATAACTCGTTAACGGTGCCTCGGAGAAAATTGTTGCAAAGGAAGAAGTTGCTTCGAACGACCCGAGGAACCCGCCCATTTCGGATTGCGAAATTTCATTTCACGTGAGATTTTCCAGATCACCTAAGAACACGCCGCTGGCCAGTCCACGGATGCCGTTGATGATGGTGACGTTGTTCTCCAAATAGTACGGATCGCAGGTGGCGTTCTTGCAGTAGACCTGGTACAGGGACCCGTTCACGTTCTTGTTGCAGTCCTCCAGCACGTTGATGTCCTTCAGCAACCGTTTCCCGAGGAGGCACATCCTGCGCGGGAACAAAATTCTCGCGTTAATCTCGCCAGCTTGTCGGCGATCTGTTTCCCGAGGATGGACGACAACAAAGGGGAGTTACGAACTTGAGGGACTCGTTTCCATAGAAGTTGTAGAACAGTCCCACGTAGACGGCGATGATCGACAGGATGACGCAGGCCAGAGCCACGGTCGCGAACTTGTTGACGAACTTCACGCCCACGAACACGATGATGCCCATCACCACCAACAGGCCCGTACCGTACACGCGAAAATTGTTGTACATGATACTCGGGTCTTTGGTGAAGTCGCCGAATATGCTTAGCGAGGGCGCCATGTACGTCTGTGAAAGATGACGATCGTGGTTAGGATTCTTTACATTTAAGTCTTCGAGCACGATGACATAATGATGGTGATGATCTTCGGATTATCATAATCTGATGGTGATTTTGGCCTTTCCGATATTTTCCATTGCTGTTATGAAATTCTCGAGAATAGGCAGTGAACCAAATAGTTCACTATGAACAAATAGTTGACAATAGTAGAGAACAATAGTGAACGAAAGTGACGTATATTTAACACATCGAGCGCCATGTTGGTATTTTATATATTTAATATTTATGTTTAATATTATTGTTTTATGTTTCATATTTATATTCGAAATTATTGTTTTATATTCAATATTTATATTTGATATTATTATTTTATATTAAATGTTTACATTCAATATTATTATTTTATATTTAATATTTATATTCGATATTATTGCTTTATTTTTAATATTTTGACTACTTTTCAAAATTCATTTCTATTCTAATATACTTGAAGAAACGGAAGTTTACTGAATTTCCGGATATCTAGAATGCGAAAGAGGTAAAATAACATTCAATAGGATAAATATTCATTTTCTGGTTCCAGTTTCGTTAATTAAATTACCTTAAACTTGTGGACATACTTGGACCCGGATTTTCGCGGTTAACGTGTTAATAATCGAACTCGGAGTCAGTATAGACTGATGTCATCACCCAAAGGCTAAGAATTTTTATGATTTTGATATGCAGTAAGTGCTCGATCAATATATACGAACCATTACATTTCGTTTATAATATAGTATAATATTAATAATAGTATATATTAATATATTATAATATAGTATATACTAATATAGTAGTATATATTATTATTATAATATAATAGTATAATATAATATAGTATATACTAATATAGTAGTATATATTATTATTATAATATAATAGTATAATATAATATAGTATATACTAATATAGTAGTATATATTATTATTATAATATAATAGTATAATATAATATAGTATATTAATATACTATAATATTAATATAGTTTTTAATATTATTTTTATGAATCGCACGAACGGCACTTACCAGGACGATCTCCACCGCGCCGATGATGTACATAGCTGCGGCTAAAGTGGTGCCCGTGTAGAACAACATGCCCACAGCACCGCCGAATTCGGGACCCAGACTTCTGGATATCATGAAGTAGGACCCACCGGCTGGCACTACGCCGTTCGTCGCGATAGCGCTCATACTGATCGCGGTCAGCATGGTCTGCCAACAGAGGACATCGAGAGTGAATTTCTCAGCGGATATAAGCATTAAAAAAATGCATCGACCATTTCGTCGATTAAACAATTCGTGTTTTAAACAATTGGGAAAAGCAACAATTACTTTAACCGTACAAGTTGTAGTATATTTCCAGAAGTCGAAGTTGAATTACTGAACAGAAGGACCAGAACTAATTTTTATAATATAACGTATTCTCAGATTTGTTATTGTTAAAAACGGACACATCTTTATTCTATTGCTATTTATTTGTATTCAATTTCACTGGCCTACGTTTGAAGTGAAGACAATGAAATATGCATTTGCCGATTTTGAAATGGAACGAACTGAATGAATAAGTGATATGATATAATATAACTGGATAATATAGTATAATATAATATTATAATATGTTATAGTATAATGTAACATAATGTAACAGAAGATAATATTATAATATATTATAATATAATATAAAATAATGTAACATAATATAATATTATAATATATTATAATATAATGTAACTTAATATAATATTATAATATAATATAACATAATATAACTGGAACGAAAATTCGTCGTCTTAAAATAATTGTTGCTGTACACGATTCAAAGAAAATGCTCCGAATGCAGCGGGTTAATCGTCGAAAGCCTCAAGGCGGCCACTGACCAAATCATTTCGACATTTGCCAAGTCGCGACAAAGTCCATATGTCGAAAGATTATGCAAATGTGTTGCTCTTTCCAGAGACTTAGGCTCACAAGGGTCGACAGCGCGCGTTCCTTGCGTCGCGTCGTGACGAGGATCTGGTATCCATTACTCACCACACAGCAGCAACAGAGCACAATGAAGAAACCCTGTACGGCGCCGGCTGTGCCAACCACCCACGTCAAACGGATGAACAGGATTACACCGAAGATGTTCTGGATACACGGCAGAAAGACGCCGATC